CTGTCGTGGACCAAGCGCAAATCGTATGCCCCACTGACAACTGCGACGTCCGTCAAGTATCGCGGTTGGTCCGCCGCATGCGACGGCGACGCGCCCAACGAAGCGCACCCATCACGGCCCATGCAATATCTGGAATCAGCCTTTGAATGGGAGATTCTACTTTTTGACATTTAAGAGTTTCATTTGCTTTCTTCGACGCTGTGGGGCAAGCTTATTCCAAATTACTGCAATACTCCCGAAGGGTTAATAACAGAAACAAATCTCCAGTCGATTCTTTCCGCTTTCAACGAAAACGAATTTTATAGCAAACATCTAGGTGCTATTGCTAGTCGCCTTAGCCAGACACCACTCTCTGCTCTACGGAACTCATTCGTCTCAATCAAGAATGGTCTTGCTTTTTTGGATTCAGCAAACGAGACAGTCAGTCCACCAGTTGGATGTGGAAAGGATCCCGCCTCTTCTATATGGGTCAGCAATCACGGCCCACACCTTCTAAGGTTCGCGCCTCATGCGTATTATGTCTGCTTCTAGGATTTTGATGTACGAAAATAATCTCTGATCAAAAATAATTTATTGACAACCTCACCTTTCTGTTCTCCCATGAATATGTACAAATATTGGAAATTATTTAAGAAGTATCTGTTCAACATCCACAACTAAAGTCACCTTCAATGATCTGTGCGAAAGAATCAGTGTGGACTACGATATACTCAACTACAATGAAGGCTATCGAGAAGTTGGTGCACTGGTAAGTTTTCAGAAATATAAAGCTAACCTAAATGCATCTGCACGTGCATCTAACAAATCTAGAAGTGCATAGTGTCTCATGGCTTCCTCCTAGTGTAAGTTCCTTGAAATCACGTTAGACTTTGCCTTCGCCAAAGGGTAAGGGAACTTCTCCCCCGATTGCGGCAGATCGCTGTGCGACATGCGGCAAATCTTTTTTAGTTGTCTCGCGGCTCCAAACTGCAATGACCGTACTCAGCCCGCCTACCCGTCAATCGATAGGACGCAATATTTTTCAATGACTGTCTTTTTTAATTGCGACAGGCGAGCGCGACACCGTCTTCGGGGGGAAAATACCCGACCCTTCCCGGAGACACCCAATAGCTTTCGAAAATAGTCTGATTTTTCTGTATAGTCTCTCCGTAGCCATGTAAACTTCTTCCAGCGAGGTTGATTCCGGTGCGTTGGCATAGAAGATTGTTTGAGCTGTGTTGGGAGGGTGTAGACGAACCCCCATTCATTGCGCTATTTTTGACTATTTCTAGTAGTTGGTGAGTATGCCTATACAGCAGCAATTTAGCTGGCGCACTTCTCTCAACTACGATGAGCCGTTTGAGTTTTTCCCAGTCAATCCCACTGTGATGTTGAAAGATTGCAGCGTGGCTCTAATCTTCGTCTAGCCGAGCATACTATACACTGGGCAGGAGGTGGTGCAAAGCCATTGGAAATTACCCTACCAAAGCATCTCCGTGCAGTCACCATGCATGATCCACCATTTGTCTACACCACTCCTATCGCTTCTCTAGCCGATTGCGAGAGTCTCGAAGACGTCGAGATTGAGCTCAGCAAAACAAACGTCATCAAAGTGGTTAGTTCTGCCTAGCAGCCAATTTCTTCTTTGCCCTATCATCAGTACTGATTGAGTATATTACAGAGTGGACCATGGTACCCATGCCCCAGGCACGGCTCTAACGACACTTCCCACTACTGCTGTGCTGGCTATGCAATAGATTTACTGTCCAATTTGTCGTTACCAGAGGTGAGTTATAAGTGCAAACCTCGTGGTAGTAAAATCTCCCTCGCTTTCCAGCCAAACACTACGATTGATACGAGTTTCACGTTCTCATTGCATTTGAATGACAGCTATGGAGCTGTGATCTTAGGAGAAAAGGTAAGTTCAACAAGTCATAGGTGAAATCAAATTTATATGTACAACTGCTTAAGGGTTATATCCTGACCGGCGCACTGGGCGAATTGGACAGTGATCAGGCCGATCTAGCTATTGGTGGAATGACCATCAATCCTGAGAGGGAGAGGTTAATCAAACTAACTTTTCATTTATACGTTATTTTAGAGATGCCCAACTTGATATATCACCAACATTACTTTCTGTTCCTCCGACTTACATTCCAGGGCAAGGCCTACTCAGTTGGCATTGCCCGGACCCCATTTCATCTTTTCTGGGTATCGGCATACAAACATGCCGTAGCTGCTTTACATCGAAGAACAGATTGGATGTGAGTCAGGCTTGTGATGGGGCTCCAATATTAAAGACGGGGAGAAACATCTTATCCCATTTGGCAACATCATAGCTTTGCCCCACTGTACCGATCTGTTGCCGACTGCCGGCCGGTAGCGGTGTAAGACGAGCGCGGACTGACTATACTAAAAACGCCCACGACGCTCGTTTCCGCGACGCGTTGTGGCGGCGGAGCAAAGATGGGCCGGGGCGCCTCTTGGCCAATGTTTCATATACATGAGAATAAGATCCATGGTTATGGGCTTCTGATAGTGGTGTCATCATCAATCGACAACATTGGTGAGTATCACTCAAGTCTTCGAGTGAGTAATGAGGTTGTTCACTCTTAGAAAAGGCCTATTTAACGGAGGGGTGAATTCTTGATGCATGGGTATTTGATGATGAATGATGTTCATTTTGTAAGTGGTAAGCATATGCGCCTCCGGTTAAGTGATAATTTGTAGCATTCGCCTAACTGATTGGGTTCCCCTTCAAAAGTTTTGCGATCAGAAACGAGCCATTTGTTTCGAGAAGAAGAATGGTGAATCAAGCGGGTATTAAAGACCCTGTGACAGGGAGTAGGAGAAGGAGGAGGAGGCAGGAGAGGAGCCTAAGCTGGGCAAGCCGACTTTCGTAATAATATAGTGGAGTACGCAGTAACCAAGACCTGCTGAAAGAAAAAAACACATTTGAACTTTAGTTTTATTCAGACTTCACTTAATTTATTGCTCCCAAATTACTATGTGAATCCAGGTACATCGACTTCTCGGAGCCATGGTCGTATCATGGAATACGAATACTCGAGAAATCGGTTAGATTCCCATTCTCATTTTCATATTACAATTGTTTTGAAAGGATACCATTGGAAGCAGAATTTGATTTGATTCAGATTCAGATTCCACGCGACTCCCCGATGCAATCTTTCCTACAACCACTGAAATCGTCCCTATGGACTGCACTCTTTGTGTCCGTAATCACTGTCGGCCTCGTCATTTTCTGCCTTGACCTCAAGTCGCCTTTCGACCGATTCTATCGGGTGAGCACCATTTTTAATTCAGCTTATCCAATGATCACGATAAATCACTATAGCAAGTATTGCCAAATGTCTTTTTGTGTTATCTGGAAGGACTACGTTTACACTCTAACCGTCACTGTTCTACTTAGAATTCGGTGTTCCTTCAGCATTGATTAGTTAACGTTCAGAACGAGCCACATCTGGGGGAACCAGCCAACATTTTCTTGGAACAGGTGGCGAACGAGCGTGTCAACTTTGGTGAAGCAATGTGGTTCGTTTGGGGAGTTCTGCTAAATAGCGGAGTTTCCGAAAGTGAGCAAGTACACTTCTTTGTTCATTTATTATCGTAGACAAACTATGCCACTACAGAGCCTAAGAAACAATGAATCGATACAATTTTGGATAAGAGGTAACAAAACCAGCCATTGTAGATATCCCCATGTACTAGCTTCTTTTACTATATATCTTCACAACGATTATTATCTCAGAGGTAAACAGCTTGGAATTCCATTCAAGGTTTCCACGGAACCTTACAAAAAGTTCCTACAGCTGTGCCACACAGGTTTCTTCCAACAAAATCAATTCACTTCGAGACGTTTTCAATGAATTGTCCTTTTCTAGGATCTTGATCTGGTTTGGGAGTCCTGGGTGCGCTTCGTTACGCGCATCCGTCGAAACTAGGTCACGCCGCAGTCGTCGCACGCGGCCTTTCACTTCGCGTTCTTTGACAGAGGTCGCATTTGTCATTGGGGCATACGAATTGCGCTTGGTCCATGGCAGTCGGGCTAAAGAAAAGATAAAAGGTTCTAGTGCAGATCGTTCGCTTCACTAATACTAAGTGGTACTGTGATGTCATTCCAAGATCGTAGTGGGCTGCGCCTCGTGCGAGGGGGGCAGTGCGACCTAGTTTTGACGAATGCGCGAAACGGACGTTCCCCTGGTGCCGTGTAGTCTACCAAAAGAAGTGCACCATTTCCGGGCAGCTGTAGCACTTTCCAATTTTGGTAAAGAACATCAAGGCTAGGAGACCACTCCGAGTTCCATCTCCAACACCAGCACTACTGAACGTCAGGGAACCAATAGGGCAAAATTTCAAAATGATCCCAAAAACCTTATTCAATGAAATTTTTTAACTTTGGTAAGTGCTGGAAAAAGCTTTCTTACTCTTCTCGAGTTGAAGAAAAATTCAAACGTCGAATGCATCAAATTCACAGATCCAAAAACAACTTACAATTACTTGAGGAAATAGGAAGTTGAGAGAGTTTAGGTAATAACAATTAAAGGCACAGTTCATGATGCTAATGGGCTATCTAGTTCTAGACGAGTAATTGGTGATAATCCACATTAGTACAAAAGTGGCGAAGAAAACTCAAAAATCGGTGTTTTCAGGGAGATATAAAACCTAAAAAAGAAGTAACGTTAAGAGTTGGACGAGAATGTTACGAAAAAAGCTGCTTGGAAGTGGTATTTGGACATCCGTTCGAGTGAGCGCGCCATTGCATACAGCTGGGTGCGATAAGCTGCCTGTGTGTAATGTGTGGGTCCCGGTGCGAATGATGCAACCTCTACAGCTTTTACAACACACAACAACTCTTCAGCCTTGGGGGTGTACGTTGACTACAGCGTCTCTTCGAGATCCCAGGTTCATCTAGAGAGAAATCGCAGAAACTAGTTTCAATGGGAACTGTGTTTTAAAGAAAAAATCGATGTAGAAAATATAGAAACTCCATCGAACACATCCTTTTACGAGCTCTATTGAAAGTCAGCATTAGATGTATGGTTACTTTACAGGGAGTATTTGAATGTTCTTCTGCTACTTCACTATTGCATGCGTCTGAAATACTTCATCAAATTCCAGAGACGCCTCGGAGCTGCGCAGCAAGGGTCCTAGGAATCGTATGGTGTGGATTTTGTATGATCATGGTAGCTTCATATACTGCAAACTTGGCCGCTTTTCTTGTACTTGATCAACCCGAAAAGGGGCTCACTGGCATCACAGATCCAAGAGTTAGTGAAGGATTCCTTTTAGAACATAGTACACTTTCCTAAAAACTAACTTTTCAGTTGAGAAATCCATCAGCCAACTATTCTTTCGGCACAGTTTTAAACTCAAACGTTTACCAGTACTTCAAGCGACATGTAGAGCTCTCTACAATGTTTCGAAAAATGGAAGCCCATAATGTGGAGAAGGTTTGTTCCTCATCAGATTTGAAGGGCTCCGTCAAAGGCATGATATGTACAAAGAGACCTGTTTCAGGTTTCTGATGCACTGTCATCTCTGATCAATGGGTGAGCACTTTATTCTGCATTTTAGTATTGTCTGCTGGCCTGGTTTCAAAATTAAAGTAGGTAAAGTTTTAGCGTTAAATTATCCCGTCTGAGGGATGCGCCCCGCACTCGACTTCCATTCAGAATCGTAGTGGCGTAATGAGTGCGTATGTGGCCTATACAATGACGTGCGGAGGTCAACCGATGTACAAGTCAGTGTTCTTATCCTCCCAGACGAGTCTGGTACCAATTGACCGACCCCGGAGGGATGTAAGGCTTGGTTAGNTCCGGGATTCGAACTCCTGACCGTGCGTGTGAGATATGTAGTGCGCCACTTGCCTCTACACCACCTCCACCTCGTTTCAAAATTACGCCGTCAAAAAATCAGTTGAAAAATCAAGGATTCTGCAAAAAACAATCAGTTAACCCTGCAAATTGTTCAGCACACTGGACGCTTTCATTTGGGACTCTACCCGGTTGGATTTTGAAGCAGCCAGGCACTGTGATTTACGAACGAGGTATTCTTACATTGAAGCGCTCATTTCAGCTCCGGCTGTAGCCGAAACCCTTCATTTCAGAGGTGCCCTGTTCGGACGGAGTGCTTATGGGGTTGGATTGCAAAAGAACAGTCCATGGACTCCGCACATTACATCTGCAATTCTAAGGTTGTCTGAAAGTAAGCCTCTGCACATTTTTGAAGGGGGTTTTTCCCTTCTTAGGCTCTGACTGCTACTTCCCTAGGCATGGTTCCATTGAGTAGAGTTCTTGAAGTTTCCAGAAGATCACTTTCAGGTGGTGTTATGGAGAACTTAGATACCAAGTGGATCGACAATAAGGAGTCCAAATGCGTGGCAGAGGCCCATAAATCACCGGCACGACTTAGTCTTTGGAATATGAGGGTCGGTTCTGAGCTCTGATTTGTGATAGTCGTCCTAGGGCGATGGAACGGGAGCAATGCAGAAATTTCCATGCTCAATTTTTTTCAGGATGTGTTTATACTAGTCACGGTTGGAGTAGCAGCTGGCGCAATTTTCAGTACAATTGAAGTTATTTATGGAAGGAGAAAAGCAAGGAGAGGGTGAGTTGTCTTTCCTTCTGCATTGAGCACGATTCAATAAGTCCGCTTAGACATGAGAGGGCCCTTGCGGCTCGGTACGTGGAGAAGTGGCGGATGATGGCCTCCGACGGTCGTCGAGCGAACAGATACAACCTTTCTCGACCAGTAATCAGACGAGGATTCACTGGACTGGAACCATGCACATTAATGGTGGGTGTATAGCTTTCAACATCCAGCTAACATTATTGCTAATAACACTTGCCATTGTGATGACACTCAAAATCATCATTGCCACTTGTCTGTGCTGCAGCTCATAAGGGAAGAGCTTGATTTGAGTATTTCAGTTCAATTCAATCTATATATTGTGTCTGTTTGTATATCGTTTGTCTCTGTGGGTCCGTCAGCAATTCGGTATTATCTTAAGTTGCCCGAAGAGGTCGGGTAAAGTTAAGGATGAGAATAGGGTTAGATCAGCAGACCACATGTAAGCTCCTCGGAGATCTTGTGGAATGGTCAGGGTTCAGAGTGTGCTAAGGGTGTCTGGATTGAATATACTCCGCTCACGACGAAAAAACGGCTGCCTCTCATATCATTGTTGGGAACGTGCTAGGATCCAGGAAAAAGTTGATGAGGGCTACAAAGGGAAAAAAAGTGATCAGGGGTTTGCATTGTGCTGGGTGAACGCTGAAGTGGGTGGAGCCAAAGTCAAAAATCCCTAAGGTTGATTCAGCTGGATCTGAAAAGAGCGAGCTCCTAAAGAAGCCACTATGTCTAAATCCTCACATAAAGAAGTTTTTGTATGTACTAGCGGAATTCTAAGTATTCGGATTTCTTTGAGTATAGCGTCAGTATATATAGATATAAACTATATGTATATGCATATGAGTATAGTTTATTATTGTATATAAATCTGTTGTTGTCGTGCCTTTCCAGGACATTCGGAAGCGTGAGCTGAAGCCATCTAAACAAAATCCCGTCAAGAAAACCTTAATCCGACCACCGGAGTTCGTACCGGATCTGAACTTTGGCCGAGAATCTGTAGTCCTCTTTTGCAGCCGATGTCGCGTGAGCATTTCTTTTATTGAGAGTATTTAAAAACTTTCATTATCGTAATTCCGAGTGTTTCCTGAACTGATTGAGCACGGAAAAGTCGACCAGATGATTTCGAGGAAAGCAATTCCAGAACACTTGTGAGCAGGTTTCTGTGATTCCCTGATAAGATAAACCTGTGGCCTCAGTGATAACAGGGAAGTACACTGTTGGGGTGAAGGAACTTCTCCTCAAATTCCCGCGACCTGCTGCAGTGGTTCCACAGCGACTTTCCGTATCCTTCCGCTGGGAATTCGAATCTTTTCCTTCATAACACGCGATCGCGTGCGACGAGCCCGACACTCCGTTCGGGTAGAAGATACCAGACATAAGTTGTTCGGTCGAAAAACGACCTGGCGCTAGTTCGCTCATGTAGGAGGATCCCAGACGATTACAGGCAGATAATCTCGTACCCCTTTCTACCTTGTCTTTAAAAGGCTTATATTCATAAAACCCTCGATTTTGTCCTTTTTTCATCATTTTTGCGCTGATCTGCACCGCAGCTTCCAGTATTCCACTTAAGGTGAATAACTCGAATTATCGTAAATTGTGCCTTCAAAGAAACCGTTTTTACGACTTTACTTAAATAAATATCGAGATCACTTTTTTAATGCTACAGCTTTATGATATTAACAAAAAGCGCTTTCAAAAAGAAGTGACAGAAGCACCATAGTAGATATTTTTGGGAACAATCTTCAAGAGTGAATCAGCTCATTTAGTAGNAACAGTCCATGGACTCCGCACATTACATCTGCAATTCTTAGGTTGTCTGAAAGTGAGCCTCTGCACGTTTTCGACGCGGGTTTTTCCCTTCGTAGGCTCTGGCTGCTACTACCCTTGGCATGGTTCCATTGGGTAGAACTCTTCAGACTGAAGTCTTATGAAATTTCCAGAAGATCAATTTTAGGTGGTGTTATGGAGAACTTGGATACCAAGTGGATCGACAATAAGGAGTCCAAATGCGT